CTCTTCTTGTTGTGATGACCCCAACCACAAAATTATTTTATTGCTACCTCATAACTGTAATCTTGCCACTGTTATGAATCATAGTGTAAATAAATACCTGTGGTTTCCAATGGTCTTAGGCAACCCTCATGAAAGTTTGAGAACCACTGGACTAGCTTTTCTAGCTTGGCAGTTTCCATAACTTCCCTGTCCTCACAGAAAGAGAACCCTCTGGCCAACTGGGTCTGGGAACTGAGAATTGGCATGTAGTAGGTAGAGACAGGGAAGGCTGCTCCTGAGGAGACTAGCAAATAGAAGCAGATGCCGATCCTAGTCACAGGATGGAGATGGGATAGGAAGTTGTTTTGTAATAGAAAGAAAGCAAATGTATCACTCTTCACACATATACAAAAGACTACCCAATTTGAATTATTAGTTCCTTAAAAAAAATAGGGTTTTATGTAAGCCAGGCCAGTCTTAAACTCATGATATAGCCAATGATGACTTTGACCTTCTGATTGTCCTCCTGCTAACTCCAAGGGCTTGGAGTATAGGTATGTGCCTGGTTTAAATGATGCTGGGAACCAAATCCAGCTCATACATGCTATAAACTGAGCTACACCCCTAGTCCACATCTGCTTGTTTAGAGGAAATATGCCCACGATAAGTATTTATCACAATTTTCAACAGTAATTCAGCTAAGAGTTGCCATTTTTTTCTCCGCTCATGTAGGTGTGTACTTGCTGGTTGTTCTTAAGGATTCAGAGTGCAATTCAGGTTTCATAGACCAGTAGGTATGGGGAGGCTGGCTGCCCTCTGGAAGCACAGTGAGAGTTCTAAGGAAATTCTGGGTTTGATTTTCATCTCATTCATGCTGTTGTGTTGTGTATTAACTATCTAGTACCACACAACTAATGGTTATAGTATAGCAGCTTAAGCCCCCATACAGGTATAATTGCAGAGATCTGTGAGGCAAGAATCTTGGCATTCAGTTTCTATCTGTTAAAGGACTGCAGTCAAGGCATCAGCCAGATGGAGCTTTCATCTGAAGGCTCTTCTAGGGGAGACTTACTTTGGAGGCTGTTGGCAGAATATAGCTCTTTGAGGTTTGGACTTGGAGCCATGGTTCCTACTTGGTATTGGCTGGAGGCCACCCTCAGTTCCTCGTCAGGTGGGGCTTTCCAGAATAGCTGTTTCCTTTATCCAAATGTGTGAGCCCAGATGACTGTCAGGAGAGCATGCTAACAAGATGGGAAGTTCCAGTGTCGGGTAACCAAACTGTGGAAAGAATGACCCATTGATTTTGGAGCATTGTACCAATTACAAGCAAGTCATCGACCCTATCACACAAGGAAAGGGGATTATGCAAAGCTGAATATCAGCAGGCTATCTTAGGTTGCCCACCACTGGGTTGTAACCATACCTGTCTATCTCAGAACCCCAATAACATATATTTTGTGTTTGTTTGTGCTTGCTTGCTAGCTAAACATCCTATCTTAGTTTCTTTTCCTGTTGCTGTGATAAAAATACTCTGATAAAAGCAACTTACAGGGACAGGATTTATTTGGCTCATAATTCAAGGTAGAGTCCACCAATGTGGGAGGAGCTTGAAGCAGCCAGGCACATTACATCCACATCAGAAAACTGAATGGTGAACATGTGTGTTAAGCTTACCTTCTCTTTCTAATTAATCCAGGACCCCAAGCCCAGGGAATGGCTCTACCCACTTTTAGGCTGTGTCTTCCCACCTCAGTTAACCAAATTAAGATAATCCCTAAAAAGAATGGCCAAAGCCTCATCTCACTCATGCTCCTGGATTCTGCCAAGTTGATAGTTAATTCACCTTCTCACCTCAACTACAGGAGTATCTTAGTTAGGGTTTCTGTTGCTGTGAAGAGACTCCATGACCACTGCAACCCTTATAAAGGAAAACATTAATTGGAATTGGCTTACAGTTCACAGGTTTACTCCTTTATCATCATGGCAGGAAGTATGGCCGCATGTAGGCAGACATGGAGCCAGGGAAGGAGCTGAGAGCTCTATATCTTGATCTGCAGTCAGAAAAAGGAGACTGTGTGTCACATTGGGTGTAGCTTAAGGGTATGAGACCTCAAAGCCTTGGGTGGCTTTGGGACCTTATTCTTCCTACTGGGTTGCATTGCCAGCCTTAATACATGGGAGGCCTGCCCCTTTCTGAACAGAAATAGAGGAGGAGTGGGTTGGGGGGAGGGCACAAAAGGAGGTGAGGGGATATGGGAGGGGGAAACTGTGGTCAGGATGTAAAAATAAATTAATTAATTTAATTTAAAAAAAAGACCTCAAAGCCCCCCTCCACAATGATACACTTCTTCCAATAAGATGGCACCCATTCCAACGAGGCCACACCTTCTAATAGTGCCACTCCGTATGGACTGAAGCATTCAAACACATGAGTCCTTGTGACCATTCTGCTCACACCACCACAGGAGTAAGAGTTGGTAGAAAAGGCCAGCACTGGATGTGTGTAATGATGACCCTGAGCCTTTCTTCATTCCGTACTTCTTCCTGCTGGCAGTACATAGGCTGAAATGTAGCATCTTGTAAATCAAGACCAGCTTCCTACACAGATCCTGGCTGCAAAAAGGATATTCCCAACACTTGGGAGGCAGAAACAGGTGGATCTCTGTGAGTTCAGGGCCAGCTTAGTCTATGCAATGAGATGTCTTAAAAGAAAAAGAAGAGAAATGAAAAGACATCAACCAAAGTTATTTGCTTGAATAGATTTTGGACTTAGTTCTTTTGAAAGCTCATTCTTTTATTCTATTTGTGTGCGTGTGCACATATATGCATTTGTGAACACCAGAAATCAAAGCCAGGCATCTTCCCTCTCAATCATGCTCCACATTTTTGATTGATTGTTTATTTTGAGATAGGGACCTTTTATGTAGCCCTGGCTGTCCTGAAACTAGCTCTGTAGACCAGGCTGGCCTTGAACTCACAGAGATCCACCTACCTCTGTTTCTCAAGTGCTGGGATCAAAGGCATGTGCTACAATGCCTGGCTACTCCAGTCTCAGGACACCCAGCTAATCCTGGCTTCTATATAGGTCTCTGGGATGTAATTCAGATCCTCATGCTTGAGCCACAAGTACTTTACTAACTGAGCCATTTCCCCAACCCCTATTGCCTTTTTAAAAAAATAACAAATGCTTTATGATAACTTTCATCAAACATAAAATCCATTCCCATACACATATTTCAAGACATCAAAATGACTTTGCCGATTAAAAAGATAAAAGGAAACTAACTACAATAAAACTGTGTTTATTTATTTATTTATTTATTTTATGTGTATTGGTGTTTTGCCTGCATGTATGCCTGTGTACAACATGAGTGAGTTACAGAAGGTTGTGACCCGCCATGTGGTCACTGAGAATTAAAGTCTGGTCCTCTGCAAGAGCAATTAGTGCTCTTAACCACTAAGTCATCTCTCCAACCACCTAGAAATGTGTTTTACTATATAAATGCAGGGCTGGAGAGATGGTCAGAGGTTAAAGTGATTGCTGCATATCATGAGGACTGAAGTTCAGTTCTCAGCATCCGTAAAACAAACCAGGCCCTCCACATATGCCTTTAACCCCAGCTCTGAGGAGGAGGAGAGATAGGATTGCTGGGATTCACCTGCTCCCAGTTCAGTGAGAAGCCTTATCTTACAAAAATCAGGTGCTGAAAGACTGAGAAAGACACCTGACTTCAGCCCCTGGCTCCAACATACATGACCACAGCGTACATTCATACAAACGTGCCAAGTGATCATGTACAGACACAAATAAGTAAACAGTCTTTTAAAGATATTTAAATTCTCTAAATCAGAGGTTGACTCCTTCTATCTGATTTAGAGTCACTGCTAACTAGACATGCAGACTGATGCTTGAATTTCAGCATAAAGGGAAGGACTTGGGTCTTATAATTTGCCATTGGTGCTGCAAGTAATTCTTGGAAACTTTCAAAACAAAACAAACCATTATCCCATAATTTGCATAGTAGTTATATTCCTGGAAATTTGAATGTGTGTTCTAATTGTGAAAAGATAAAACAATCTCTAGTTGGAGTTAGTCCAGACTCAGGTAGTTATATAAATAAGGCTATTGTCATGCTGAACACTGGAGATTCTTGAGGATTTTGAGAAAATTAATTATAGAGGATATTGCTGTACTTGCCAGGACAAATTTCTGGACCTTCCTACCCTCCCTTCCAAAATCTCCCAGTTCCATAAGTGATCTCAATTACTGTAACAACACAACCTGTTGTTTGATCAGGTGTGAGAGCGTGCCTGGGAAACTGAGGAAGGAAGATGGAGGCTTTAAAGTCAGCCTACACTACAGTAAACTTTTTCAAAGTTAAATAAATAAAGTTCCCTGTGGCGGAGAGATGGCTCAGCAGTTAGGAGTGCTGGCTGCTTTTGCAGACGACTAGAGTTCAGTTCCCAGGTCCACATCAGATGACTCAGCTGTTAATTACAGCTTTACAGGATCCAGCATCCTTGTTTTACCTCCATGAGTCCCCCCTACACATTCATATGTGTGCCTGAGAGTATGCACGAACACACACAATTAAATAATAAAAGTAAGTCTCCTTTTTATTGTTTGAGACAGTGTTTCCCTGTGTAGCCCTGGCTGTCCTGGAACTCATTCTGAAGATCAGGCTGACCTCGGACTCACAGAGATCTGCCTGCCTCTGCTTCCTGAGTGCTGGGATTAAAGGCATGCACCACCACCATGGCATATAAGTAAATCTTAATAAAACTAGAGCTTGTGTTGCACGGAAGTTCAACATCATCTCTGTTCCATAGGGAGTTCAAGGCTGTCTTGGCTACGTGAGATACTATAAATTTTTAAAGAATGAGCTAGGGGTGTATCTCAATGGTAGGACACTAGACTACTATATACAGAGCCCCCAATTATCAAACCTCAGTACTAAACAAAAAAACAAACAACAACAACAAAAAACTATAACCCTGACAAATGCTTTCTTTTTCAACAGAAACCTGTTTCCTTCCAATCTTGTGGTTGCAACGTTCTCTACGGTAAGGTTTGATACTTTGTCAAATACATGAAACTTTGATTGGAGAATTGTATAAATGATTGCCCCAAAGTTTGCTAAGTTTGGTAACGTAGAATAACGACAGATCCTAGTGTAGTCTGTCCCCAAACCCATCAGGAGTGAAGTTTGTTAGGAGAAGCGGGAAGGAGAGCGTTATACAAAAAAAAAAAAAAAAAAAAAAAAAGGTTCACTGTATGACTAGCATCAAACAACGTGACCATGAAAGAGGAGAGGCTTTCCTTTGAGTCTTAGAGTAAAAGAGATTGGGGGGGAGTATGAAGATGAGCAGGGAGGCCAGAGGAGCCTCTTCATAGATGTTCCAGGGCAAGCCAGGGGGTCTTATTATAAACAAACGTTAGGGTCAGTTTTTATAGATAGATACTTGGAACAAAATTTAAAAATGACAAAACTATGACAAAACTCTAACATGTAGAAAGGGGCTCCAAAATCTTTCTAGAGCATTTAGAAAATGCCCTCAAAACATTGTTTGGAGAATGACCTAAACGTTGTAGAATTTTTAGAAATAATATTTTTTGTACTTGATGTACATGTTCAAAAAACAAAACAAAACAAACAAACAAAAACCAAAAGAGTGGGAGAAATCGTCCCACAGTAACTACGTAGAATGTTCTCATTAACGTTTTGGCGTATACCCTCCAGGTGTGTTTTTTCTATAAGTGTATAGACCATATTTGTTTATTTTATTCTGTGTGTATGGGTGTTTTGCCTGCATGTATATCTATACACCACATGCATGCCTGGTGCCCTCTGAAAGCCGGAAGAGGGCATTGGATCCCTTGGAGTTACAGATGACCATGAGCAGCCATCTAGAGCCTCTAGAGAAGCAGTTTTGGCCATTCCTCTAGCCCCCGTGAATGCAGTTTTTAAACATAATTATGCAAATGCATTCCTCCCATGTATGCATATACAGATATGCAGTATGACCTGCTTTTTCTATGGCAGCATATTCCAAACATACTTCCATGTGGGTAGATTTTCTTCCACCTAGAAGTTGGTGACTGTAAGAGTGTAACACACTTTTCTTCCAGCTGGCCCTGTTGATGGGTTTTCAGGTTGTTTCAAGATGTCCCCTTTTATAAGCAATGTGGAAAAGCAGCACCTGTAGCCATTCTTCACACAGAAAATGAGAAGATAGGTCTAGGCATTTTGATCTGATTGCTTTTTATAAGAAAAAACTTTATTACAGCAGTCTTTGTTTTGCATATTTTTTTACATTGTTTTAATCTGCACGTAAGCGCAGGAGTGACTTTTATATATAATATGGAGTAGAGAAAAAAATAAATGCATAGAGCTTTTGGTGCTTGTCACAAAAGAGATGGGGTGAGGGTTGGTTTACCTGCCAACCCAATCATGGGACAGCTGAATACATCTGCCTTTCTGGAAGTTTGGTAAAGTTAAGAGAAGCCAAAGCTCATCAAACATGGGCACAAGCAGGCACTCATGTCTGTACTGAGTTCTGACAGTTCTGACAGTTCTGGAGCCACGTGTCCCAGTGGCTACATGAAGAACCGGGCTCCAGCAGAGCTCACTCAGTAGCAGGGACTCAGTAGCAGGGTGTTGTCTAGTCAACCAACAGTAGGACCAAGGCCCAGAAGACTTGGCCAGAAGATATTGCTTTGCCTTGTGTCCCTTCCTCTGGAGATGACAGTTCAAGCCAGATTAGAAAGAGATGCCAAAGAGCAGCCGCACTTAAGTCATTCTGGAACACAGTGGAGCATACATAAATGAATGAGGGGGGAAACATGACAGACTTTGGCTTTCTGAAATGTGTGCCAAACTTCTTCAAATACTCTGAAGCATGAGCTGATGGAGTACCAAACTATCAGCAGGAAATTGTGTACATCTTCTTTAACCTATTGCCCAAGGAATGGATGGAAATTCTGTTTCCCTGGGTTCCCTAAATAACCCAAAAACTTCTTGAAAGGCTTGCTACCTTGGTGTTAATGTAACTTTTATGCCAGTTTCAGAGGTCAGGGTCAGGCCAGCCAAGTGTACCCTGCCCAGCGCACTAACTGAATAGCAGCAGTAGAATGAGACTTCACCAGGCCTGTGTCCTTAGACATGCTCACTGACCATGGGTTTTCTTCCTTTTTATCAGTCTGCAACCAATTACACAGTGGTGACTCATAACACCAGCTTGGGGAATGTGACCTACGAGAAGGTAAGCCTCTCCAGAAGATCACAAAAGTGTGTGGAAAGCAAACCAGCTTCCTTAATGAAGGACTCCACAATGTGGCTTTTACTTACTGGGGTTAGAAATTGGGGTTCTGATTGGAATTTAAAGCCTCCAGGATAGGTTTGATCCTTACCACCATGGCCAAAGGCCAGAGTCTGGAGCACAGGAATTTTCAGAGATCTGTAAGCTATTTCATGTACTCCTTGTCTCCTAATAAATGGATAGGTGACAGCATACACACAGAACTTGAAAAGAAGCTAACATGATGTAAGGGAGGGGCCCCTGGCAGACGGACCAGGATCTGGTGCATGAGCTGGTTTGTTGGAGTCCATTCCCTATCTTAATTCAGCCCTAATGCAGGGGGGAGGGGCTCAGTCCTTCCTCAACTTGATGTGTCAGGCTTTGTTGACCCACCATAAGAGACCTTACCCTTTGGGAGGAGTTGATGGGGGTGAGCTGGGGGGGTGGTCAGGGTAGGATGGGAGGAGAGGTGGGAGGGAAGACTGTGGTTGGAATGTAAAATGAAATAATAAAAAAAATTTAATTAAGGTAATAACGCAATGCATATTTTACCATATAAATGGGCAATTATAGAAGATATATCCAAGTTATACATTTCCATCTACTTGAAATTAATGAATTTGGATTAAAAAAACACTGAGGCCTGTTATCAACAGGGCTCTATTGTAATCCCAGCACTTAAGAGGCTGAGGCGTGAGAACTATTCAAGGATAGCCTAGGCTATACAGGAAGATCCTGTCTCAAAAATAAATTTAAGTAATAATAATAGTAATAAGCATGCATGATGGTGTGTGCCTGTAGTTCCAGCTACCTGAGGAGCTGAGGCAAGAGGATCGCTTAAACCCATGTACAGGCCAGCTAGTGCAACATAGTGAAACCTCATTGCTATAAACGTAATAACGTTTGTCTGCTGTAGGTCCTACAGTCTCAGCCCTAACTAAGGAGGCAGGGACAGGAGTTTCAAGTCAGCCTGGGCTGCATAGCTCAAGGGCCCGTCTCAGAATAACAAAAATAATAAATAAACAAGAGCAGAATCCAGCCTAACATTGTTAGTACTTTTTGGCATATTTTGGGGAAAAAATTGCTAAGGAAATACTTTCATATCTATGATGTATATAGTAGTCCAGAAAGCTACCGCTGCATCTACAAATTGGTGTGTTAGGCCAGTGATTTGGATTTTCTAAAATGGTAAATGACACTTGGTAAAGTTAAAACAAAATAGTTTTTCTTGCCTTTACATCTACCTGGTTCAAGTTCTTTGTGTATATAAAACAGTCAAGTCAGGTGTAGTGGCTGCACACTTTTAATCCAGCACCAGGGAGACAGAGGCAGGCAGATTTCTATGAGTTTGAGGCCAGCCTGGTCTACAGAGTGAGTTCCAGGACAGGTAGGGCAACATACTGAGATCCTGTCTCAAAACAACAACAAAACCCCAGAGCCAACATTCTCCCTTGATGCGCCATCTGAACCTCAGGACAGCCCGAACCCCACTGCAAAGGGCTTGAAATGGTATCCGTAGGCTCATTGGGACTGTCATAGAACACCACCTCTCTCTGTATAACCTTCAAATTTTGTCTAACTAGGCTTACCTGGCTGCTGTGACTTCCGCAATGGGAGTGCTAGTGACCCACAATATCCCCTGATCTATGTCCCCCTGTTCACATGGTAAATTCAAGAATATTCGCTCTTTAACCAGGAAGCAGTGTGCCCTTGCCAGTTACAGGCTTCTTTCTTAAAGACACAAGCAGAGTTAGTTATCCTTATCCCCAAGGGTGGGATGGTACTGGCAGAATTAACCAGGAACGCAGCAGCCTAAGGACACATAAAAGGCCCCAGCCCTCAGCGTGGCTCTCTGCCTTTCATCTCCTGTAATAACTTACCATGGGTGCAAACCTATCCGTAAACAGTGACATTTGGCAGCTGCTGGGTGTCAGACTCAGGCGGTGCTCACACTAGACTTAGCCCTGCCCTCACGGACCGGACCTCAGTCTAGTGAAGGGGACCCTAGAACAGATTCATCCACTTAGGAAAAAAGAGGAACAGAACAAGTAAACAGGCAGAGAAAGCACATGCATGTGTTATGTTAGATGGTGGTGTGATGGTGGCTTAGCCTTCACGAGTGGGGAAACCTTTCCATAAGCTGAAGAACTAGACAGAAGACAGTCTGGAGAGAGAATG